TTGAAAATTGTTCACAATATTAAATTTTTTATGTTTATGTTATTCGGGTACTAACTTTGCAAATTTTGCCTTTATTTCGTGTATTTTCGCACTGTGATAGATTTTTTTTTTTTAAATTATAACAAATTCGACTTATTTGTATCATTAAGGAACTTAATAAGTTGACTATAATACTTCAAATTTTTTGACTTCAGCAATTCCACTAAGCCACTGAATTTAGTAAAAATTTCAAACTCATTTCTTGCGGACTCAAGTGCCTGACATTCAAAAATAATGTGTTCCGCTGTGTCAGGAACATCACAAATTGAGCAGTGACCGGGGCGGCCAGGATTGAATTTGCTGATATAGTAATTGCAATATGTGTGTCCAACCATAAGCTTAATCTCCATACTATTCATATTTACTTTACTGTCTTTAAACCATGGTTTCCTTATAATGTCAGGAGAGTATTCAGCGAACTTCCGACCTACTGTGCAATTTGACTCTTTAAATTCCATATCCCATTCCCCCAAGATAAGACACTGATGGCTAAGAAGAGCTTCATATGGAGTTAGACCAATCGATAAGCCTTGACCAACAGAAGCAGCCGTTTTGCCAGCTAGGTCAGCCCTCTCATTAAATTGAATACCCATATGACCTGGAACCCATATAAATCTAACTTCCCTCAACGTCTCCTGCTGTGCATACAACAGATTATGTATTTCCGAAACAACACAATTATTTGTGAACTTCTTGTCTAATTCTCCCAGGGCCGATAAACTATCCGAGAATATTGCCGCTTTAGCTCTTTTTTGCTTGCCGAACATAACCACCGCCTGTCTAATTGCAACAAGCTCACCAGTAATCGATGCATATTTCTCATCTAATCTATACAGATAAGAAACATTGCTATACAAATCGTAAACTCCACAACGAACCCTATCGCTGTCGTACGAAGCATCTGTAGAGTACACATAAAAACCTTCTTCAATCAATGAACTCTTAATTTCATTGTACATTGCAATAAGCTGAGATCTAGAGTAGTTCCGTTTAGATCCGGCAATACTATGCTTCTGAAAAGTCAGGCTAGCATGCCTCTTAAAATTGACATTTAGTACATAGCGCTATAGCTGGTATCGATTTGCGGTGTGCTTACAAGCATATGTCTAAAAAGTGCATTGCTAAACCATTGCTTTACTAGTTCCTTCACAGTTAACCATCTCGCCCTAAACAAAGGAGGTAGTTCGCCAGCAAGTGCAAACCTGGAGTGGATTGGAGCACTGGGCGGCACCCTAATACACCGCCTTAAGGTGTCATTAACAACGCACGATAATTTCTTATTATAACCACACGGAGCATTTGCCCAAGTAGTGCTGCCACACTCTGCCTTCGCCCTAACAAAAGCTTTATAAATATTTAAAGCAACCTGTTGAGTTCATGTATGCATTTTCTCAAGTTTATTAGTTGTATGATCACATAATGGTTAATGTCAGCAATGTAAGCACATACGGGTTAACGACTTTGACGTTCTTTTTGTTATGCCCTTTTTGGTTTGTACATTTTTGCACATTTATAATCACTCGTTGTTAATACCCGCTCGCTAAGCATCGTTTTTCCGCAATCTCCGCGAAGTTCACCCGCTTAATATTTCGTAGTTTATCTAACGCTTTACAAATTTAGCGCTATTGTTAGTGAATAAAGACAATTGAATTTAATGTTTATCAAACGCTTTTAATTTGGAACAAAGACGAGTTTCACCCGCAATTCGCCGCAACATATGCTGGTCCTTCGAGCCGGATTTGCTAATTCCGCTTGCTAGTTTGTGTGAATATTAAATATACGTACATACATACATACGTACGAGAAAAAGTCTTGAGTTTATAATCCGCAAATAAAAACTAAAGAAAACAGAGTGCTACCCGCAAGTGAACTAAAACAAAATACTAGAGCTATAATTGCGATCCCTGCTAAACACAAAAGTGCAACCCCAGTTAAGTAATTACGGCAAGTTACTTTAAGGCTAAAAAAAATCACGTGCGTGGATTTTAAACAAATAGAGCCGATTTCAGCGCATTAAATCGTTTGTTACATTGGTGCGGTCGTCCTTCCTTTAACCTTAAGAACCTCTATAAACCTAACGCGTCCTTCAATTGCCCTTTGCAAGTGCCAAATATTAAATATGTGACCTACGAACGACTCGTAAAAAGCAAAACGAAAAATGTCGAACTTCGTTAAAACGCGCGATTCTGCGCTCAATGCCATCAAGCGATATATGGCTAAGAGCACTGACGAAGCATTTTTAATGGACGCAGAAAGTGTTAAAAGTTATCTGCAACTCCTTAACGAACAGTGGGCTCGTTTCAATACCGCTCATGACGCGGTAGAACTCTCGTGCGGAAGTGATAATACAGAGGTCGAAGAAAATGTGCGAATTCAAGCCGAGACTTGGTATTCTACGGCTTTAGCCAATTTTAATCGCGTACAGAAGTGTCGTACCGAATCACACCCCTCGCCCGCTCAAATGCCAGTGTCTGCATCGATACGTCTGCCCAAAACGGAGCTGCCTACATTCTCGGGTGACTCCACAGAATGGATTGGTTCTTTTGATGCATTTTCTTCGCTGGTGGATAGTAATGCCGCATTGTCGCACGGACAAAAGCTGCACTATCTCCGTAGTTGTTTGAAAGGTGACGCGTTAAAAATTATAAGTGGCTTCAAAATATGTGACGCTAATTACGATGAAGCTTGGGACCTTTTGAAATCACGCTATAAGGTCATGCGGGTAATAGTGGAAGGGCATCTCAGAGCTATGGCCGATGTTAAAAAGGCTACTAGTGATACTGCTGACACAATAAAAAGTGTAATCGACGCATTTCAACAACACATACGCGAACTTAAGGCTTTAGGTTCGTCCAGTAGAGTTTTGGGACGATTGGTTGGTGCACGAAGTAGTAAACAAATTAGCATTCGAGACGCGTAAACAGTGGGAGCTATCACTCGTCAGTGATGAGCCTCCGTCGTTCGAGCAGCTTTCCACGTTTTTGGAAGTTAGGTGTCGGTCTCTGGCCATGCTTTCGTCGTCAACATCACTACCCACCAAGGGTAAAACCACTTCAGCGAGCAAGTCCACGAATGTGTTTCACGCAGTGCAGGAACAAAACAGCACAGGTTGTACCTATTGTAAAGGTCCCCACAAAATATATAGTTGTGATAAGTTTCGCAACCTGGACTCAAACGCGAAATCGAAGTTTGTCAGAGAAGCGCGCGTGTGTACGAACTGCATAAGCTCCGGTCATTACAAGGCAAAATGTAATAGCTCCTCTGCTTGCAGGATCTGCCAGCAACGTCATCACACGCTGATGCATAATGCCTCCTCTACGACTAACGTCACAACCACCGCTCATTTTGTCAACAATGCGTCTCCTGTCACGCCATCCCCTCTCGCCGCGAATGCCGCACTACAATCAAACACAAACACTTCATCCGCTATCGCCTCGTCCACAGGCTCCGCTGCTGCATGGACATCCTCGTATTTGAATGCTAGCTCCAACCCGCCGCGTCCAAAAGACAGAACTGTGCTATTGGCTACCGCCTTAGTCAAAGTCCGCGATTGTTGTGGTCATTGGCAAACCGCGCGCTTGCTGTTTGATTCCGGCTCACATGCGTCCTTCGTAACTGAGGCATGTGTACAACGTCTAGGTCTACCACGAAAAGCGTCCGCAGTATCCATTACTGGCATCGGTTCGTCGCAAGGAGGCCGCTCTAGAGGTGAGGTATTACTTTCATTGTCGTCTTATTGTTTAGATGAATGCTTCCCTATCAACGCGTTATTCTTACCCAAGATTACAAGCGACTTGCCCACACAGACTTTGTCAGTTTTAGCGTGGCCGCATGTGCAAGGTTTATTCTTAGCCGATCCGCAGTTCATGAAACCCGGGCGTATCAACATTCTGGTTGGTATGGACGTCATGCAACAGCTCCTTTGCTCAGAAGTCCGTAAGGGTCCACCTGGTACGCCGATGACTCAGCGCACTGTCTTTGGTTGGACGCTATTTGGAAGCGTCGACGGAATAGAACCTGCTGCACCTCGCCTACAGTCGCTGCACTGCGAAGTCCAGTTGGATAGAGCTCTTACTAGACTGTGGGAGTTAGAAGAAGCTCCGCAAAAGACCCACCTCACATACGAAGAGCGTCACTGCGAAGAACTCTTCGAAACAACGCACCAAAGAGCACCTGACGGTCGCTTTGTTGTCGAACTGCCGCTGAAGACCGACGTACTTCTGGGCGATTCGCGAAGTTATGCTGTCCAAAGCCTACTACGCATCGAGAGGCGCCTTGCTCGGGATGACGACCTGCGGCTACGCTACAATGAGTTCATGCAGGAACTTCTCGACATGAATCATATGGAGCTCGCACCAGAATCAACGAGTCAAATGTTTTACATGCCGCATCACCCTGTTGTAAAGGATTCGAGCGTTACCACTAAGCTGAGGGTCGTTTTCAACGCGTCGGCTAAAACTGCCACCGGAAATTCGCTGAACGACGCATTATTTGTCGGTCCTCAACTGCAGCAGGACTTATTTTCAATTTTAACGCGTTTTAGAACGCATCGCTATGCACTGACCGCGGACGTTGCGAAAATGTACCGCCAAATATGCGTAGCACCGAAGTACATTGATCTACAGCGAATTGTATGGCGTCGAGATCCGAGTTTACCCATACAAGACTATCGTATGCTGCGCGTAACTTACGGCGTGGCAGCCGCGTCTCATCTAGCTGTGAGATCGCTACAACAAACCGCAAAATATTCGCACATTTGTGAGAAAGCTTCTGCTGTCATCCACAAAGACTTTTACATGGACGATCTCATCACTGGTACATCGTCCAAAGAAGAGCTGCTACTTTTACAGCAAAATGTCTCCGAAATCCTGAAAGAAGGTGGCTTCGAGCTTCGAAAGTGGGCATCGAATTGTGCGGAACTTTGCGAAAAAATATCAAATGCATCGAAAACAATATCTCACTACTTAGTCGACGGTGAGGATGTCCATGCTTTGGGTCTAGTGTGGAATACAGCAGAGGATTACCTAACGTTCGTGGTTAATTTGAAGAAGCCACCCGCTATTTTAACGAAGAAAACCTTTCTATCTGATGCTAGCACTCTTTTCGATCCTCTGGGACTGCTCGCTCCAGCGACGATAAGATCGAAAATGTGGTTCCAGGAGATTTGGCGTAACAATGTGGTTGGGATGACGTCATTCCTGACTCTACTGCAATGAAGTGGTTGGAACATCGCTCGGAGCTGCAACTTCTTTCGAACTTGAAGGTAACTCGCTGGATTGGCTCAGGTGCAACTGGGTCATTCACTGAGCTGCATATCTTTGCTGACGCGTCCGAACGAGCTTACGCCGCCGTTATGTACGCGCGCACCTTGCAACCCGACGGCCGGGTCACTGTTGCGCTGATCTCATCGAAGTCCAAAGTAGCGCCGCTTAAAACAAAAACGCTGCCCCGTCTAGAACTATGCGCTGCGCATCTCGCTGCTAAATTGGTGCAAAGCGTGTTACACAGTTGGGACGATCTCCGCTATCCGCTGTATGCCTGGACGGACTCCACAATCACGTTGGCGTGGATACAAGCGCATCCTAGCAAATGGCTGACGTTCATCGCCAATCGGGTCGCTGACATTCAGGAAATTCTTCCTCCTGAGTGTTGGAACCATGTCCGCTCGGAACTGAATCCAGCCGATTGTGCCTCGAGAGGTATAACTCCATCTGAGCTGCAGCATCAACAACTGTGGTGGACGGGCCCCGAATTCTTGAAGAGCACTGACCAGTTCTGGAAACAAACGTCGTCTAAACAGCACACAACCGAGGTAGGCGTTCGAAGCAAAGTCGTTGCTCATGTTACGAGCTCAAACGAGCACTGGCCTATAATGCTGAAGTATTCGTCGTTTTCCAAACTGCGCCGTGTCATCGCTTACGTGCTAAGGTTCTTTGTCAACGCTCGAGTGAATACTCGGCTCAATGCTGCTAGGCGATTCGGTCCTCCGAGTTGTCAAGAGTTATCCGAAGCTGAGCTGCGCCTGATCAGGTATACCCAATCATTCTATTTTTCTAACGAAATCTCTCTTTGCAGCGCAAAAAGGCCAATCCCGCTTCGCAGCAGTCTTTTGCGCTTGCAGCCATACCTCGATGAGAAAAACGTCTTGCGTGTTGGAGGTCGTTTGAAGCATGCTGCAGTTACGCCTGATGTAAGGCACCCAGTCATCCTGCCAAAAAACTCTCCGCTTGCAAAATTAATCGTCCACGATATTCACGAGTTCACGTTACACTCTGGACCCCGCATTATGCAGACCGTCTTGCAACGCCGATACTGGCTTATTGGTGCTTATTATACGTAGCATATATCATAAATGCGTGAAATGCACCAGTTTAAACCGCAATCTCGCCACACAATCTATGGGAGATTTACCTGCAACTCGTACCACCTACGCTCGTTGCTTTACCCGCACCGCTGTCGACTTTGCTGGACCTTACTTATATAAGTTCACCCATGGTAGAGGAGCGAAGGCGACCAAGGGCTACATTTGCTCATTTGTATGCATGTGCACTGGTGCATGCACTTGGAGTTTGTTGGAGACCTGTCAACACCAGCGTTTCTGAATGCGCTGAAAAGATTCATAAGCCGCCGGGGCTACTGCAGAGTCATGTCGTCTGACAACGGCACGAATTTCGTCGGTGCTGAGAAAGAACTTCGAATTGCATTCCAGCGGTGCATGGCAGATGCTAAACTACGTTCGTTCTTTGCCGACTCAAACATCGAGTGGCGTTTCAACCCTCCGTCTGCACCTCATATGGGTGGATACTGGGAAACAGGCGTCAAGCGCATTAAGTATCATCTGAAACGCGTACTGGGTGCAACTCTACTGTCCTATGAAGAGTTCAACACGCTGTTGACAGAAGTAGAGGCCTGCGTAAACTCCCGCCCGCTCTGTGACAACTCTGCAGCTGCTGATGACTTAGAGGACCTAACTCCTGGTCATTTTGTTATTGGCGAACCACTGAAGCCAATCCCAGAACCTGAGGGTCAAGGGTTCTGTGGAAATCTTCGTCAGCGGTGGCAAACTATTCCTGCCATGAGGCGACATTTCTGGCGACGTTGGAGAGACGAGTATCTCGTCAGTCTACAGCGTCGCACCAAGTGGTTTCGTTCCTCGCGCAACATCGAAGAAGGTGATGTGGTTGCGGTCTGCAACGAGCCTACCCCTCCGACGAAGTGGACGCTGGCAACAGTGATGGGCGCGTAATAGTGGTTACGTTGAAGACACCGCAAGGCGAACTAATTCGGCCCATAGTTAAGCTCTGCCTCTTACCAACGTAAGGAGATATATTTCATGAAGAAGTCTAGTATATAGTAACTTATCTATAATTTTAATTTGAATTTCTGCCAGTATTAAATTGTTTATGCATTTGTAACTTTTATATTGAACGTATCAAGATAGTTCAAGCGCGGCGGTATGTTGAGTTCATGTATGCATTTTCTCAAGTTTATTAGTTGTATGATCACATAATGGTTAATGTCAGCAATGTAAGCGCATACGGGTTAACGACTTTGACGTTCTTTTTGTTATGCCCTTTTTGGTTTGTACATTTTTGCACATTTATAATCACTCGTTGTTAATACCCGCTCGCTAAGCATCGTTTTTCCGCAATCTCCGCGAAGTTCACCCGCTTAATATTTCGTAGTTTATCTAACGCTTTACCCGCAGTAATTATTGTACAAATTTAGCGCTATTGTTAGTGAATAAAGACAATTGAATTTAATGTTTATCAAACGCTTTTAATTTGGAACAAAGACGAGTTTCACCCGCAATTCGCCGCAACACATGCTGTTTTTTTTTTTTAACATTAAGGTGCCAGACCAGCCTTAATAGAGGTAAGGCGCTTTATTAGGTTGGTCGCCGGAACAATTTCCTTCCTGATTTTTATAACGTGGTCCCTCAATGCACCAGAAGCACAAACAATCCTTCCAAGAAATTTCAACTGTCTCCCCTGATCCATATTACCCTTCTCCAGCCTTAAGGAAAAAGAGTTTCTACAGCCCCTCACCATGTACATAAACTTTGTTTTTACAATGTTAATTTTTAAACATAGGCCAAAACACGCACTATTGAACTCAACAAGCTTCTCTTGTAAATTTTTAAGGGCTCCTGCAGTCGTTCTGCAGGTGGAGACAAGCAGAAAATCATCCGCAAATTGAAAGATGTGAGTGCTTGGAGATAGGCAACTCTCCTGAGGCAACCCATTCTCCACCACAATTTCACTCTTTCCCAAAATCAGAGTCCTCCTATGTAGAAAGTTGTACATCCAAATATAGATTTTTGGATGAACACCATATTCATTGAGCAATTTGATTAACTTGACAATATCCACACAATTATACGCATTAGAGAGATCGAGAGCACAGACAAAAACCTTCCTCTTATACTTTTCACTACCAATGACCTGCAAACATTCATTTAAACACGTAGCCATTGACTTATTCGTCCTATAGGCAAAACATCTAGAAGGAATATTCTGATTTGATTCCAGGTATTCAGTGAGCACCTCCTTGACCACCATGTTAATGCTTTTTATCATAACAGAAATTAAAGAGATGGGTCTGAAATTTTCAATCTCATCTACACTGGCATTACCCTTCGGAATCGGGACAATCCTTATTCAACGCCACGAGTCTTCAATTTGGTTCTCATCAAAATGAAACTGCAACAACCAAACAACAGACGCCCATGCTCCTTCAGGAATCGCCTTCAACATTCTATACGCGATTTTATCGTATCCACCAGCCGACGATTTTTTCTTAGAGATATACACCGAAAGCTGTGGAAAAACCCCGCCACAATACAAAGCTTGCAAACCAGATGCAGATTGTAAACTGACCACCATGACATCAAGTGAAGGGGAGTTAACATTGACTACCTAATTACTAAGAAAATTTAAGTATGCCACTCCGACACCGAATTCCTGTTCATATTTTTTACATTATTGATGAAGAACCATTCCCTTCTCGTGTTTGGTTGCGCACTCAGTTCCTCAACAGCGTCAAGGAAGTTTGCTTTTTTCGCCTCCTTGACCAGTACTTTCCACCTCTCCAACAACCTACAAGCTTTCTCATTGTCTTCAATTTTGTTAGTCCTTCTTGCTTTACACCGCGCTGCATTAAGAAGTCTGTATTCTTTGGCCAGTGCATCATTCCACCAAGATTTGGGAGAGTGTTTAAATTTAATTATTTATTTGCCTGGCTTCAGCAAAGGACTCAGTCAACGCCTGAATGCTGCTAACACCATTGATTTTTCCTAGTTCCCTGTTCAATAAATGTTTAGATACAAAATGAAAAGGCTGCTTTGAGCTACCACCTACATCTACAATAATGGGACAGTGATGGCTCCCACCGACATACATCGCTTTGCACATCCACCCTACACCAGCCGGAATATTCATAAAAGTAAGATCAAGGACACTGCTGTGTCCGCCACCCGTCAACACTGAGTGCCTAAAATACGTCTTGGACCCATCATTCAAACAACGCATCACCCCACCTAATCATTCTCGCGTTAAAGTCCCCCAACAACAGAACATTTTCGTGAGCATTCAAGAATACAAACAACTTTGAAATCTACACACAACAAATTGTCAAATTACATGTAAGGTTCAGTATTTTCGCGATTAATAAATCGTATTGAGTTGGATACTTAACCTTTCTAAACTTAATATCATTCTTGAATCCAATCGGAACACCCCCTTACCCATCAGGCCTGGTGTTTTTTAAAAGTTTGTAGATCAAAAGCTTGTGGTCTTCAATCCTGTCATCATGCGAGAAAATCTCTTGTAGTGCATCAATATCTATCTGATTATGTATAATGAAGCTGTCAATATAACTTTTATTAGTTTTAAGACTCTGGCAGTTATATCGCAGAACTTTCACCACAAGTAATATTATTATTTCTCACCCTGTCCATTCTCTCATCGATGGCCTCACCCTCTCCATCATTATACTTCAGTGCAGCAATAACCGAGATGAGCGGATCATCTTTGTTAAAACGAAATCTGTTGCATAGTGCATTGATAATCTTGTCAATCTCCGACACTTTTGACCACCCAGTTTTTTCCCACGCGAGAACTTTTGGTGTTCTGGGATACAAAACTCTATCTGATCGCCCAGATCTTATAACAACCGTATTATATCTTATCTTAACTAAACGCTTGTTAACCTCCAT